GCCAAGGTTGCCTACCCCTGCCTTAGACCAAAGCTGTAAGGAAGTCCATCAAGAGTGCTTATATGAAAAGAGGAATTTTTTGCTTTATGAGAACTCATGCAAGAGAAAAATGGAGTATTCAGCTTCATTGAATTGGCAAAATAAAAATGAATGGATATTTTAGAAATAAGTGGTTGCTGATAGAGCAGATTAGATTACTTTAAATCAGATGATTATGTGACTCATTATTTAGGATATGTCATCCTGCACTATGAAGAAAGGGTGTGGCAGTGAAACTCAAAAATTTAGCATTACTAAATATGTACAGCCCTTGGTTTTAACCCGATAAAAAACAGGACTATTAGAATTAGTGGATATCTACTGAACATCCACAGTGTATTATGGAAGCAATAATGGTGCATACTGATGAATTATATGGCAAATTGCAAGTATAAATAAACGAAACACCAGGAAAACATATAGTACCACTAGTGGTGACTGGAGTAGAAATGGAAGAAATTGGAAGTGCTGAGCAGGAAAATTTAGATTACATAAATGCAATATAGTCAATACTTTCTTCAAACAACATAAATATTTGACACTACGTATAATGAGATCAAATAGGGATCCAAATTTGGAAGTGCAAGTCAGTCAGAATATTTTCAGGTGCAGATTGAAATAGACATAAATTATTATTACTAAACTGATTAAACAAGTATTGTCTTGGAAGATGTCTAGTCAGAATCTAAGATCAATTAAAAGCAGATTCACTAGACTTAAATTATGAGATGAACGCTTCTGGAACAGATTGGGCACTCTTTAAAAAGTGAGGAGGGAGGAATCTCATCAATTTCAAAGAGGATAAATTCAAGTGAGTTTTAGAATGAGCTATTATGATAGCTGAAGAAATTTGGATAGCACAAGCCTTAAATAAACCAGAACAGGATATTGAGGATTCAGTGTAGACTTCCAACAGAAAGTAACAAAGGAGAAGAAAAGAAATCTCAATCAAAAATGTCAACAAATAGAGAAAAATAGGATGGTTTCAAGGTTAAAAATACTTCAGCCGAGAAAGAATCTCAAGAAAACTCTCTCTCTATAGAAGCAAATGAAAGATGAAAATAAGATGATCCTTAACTTATGTCCAGTTGCTTAGCAACCATTTGAAGTTCTGTTGAACCTGTTGGGGGGGTACTTATGACCCAGCTTCAAAGTTCCAATGGTTACCCCATGGTCATGTGACCATACTTTAGACACTTGGCAACCAGGTCGCATATACAGCCAATCACAGTGTCCCATGGTGATGTGACCGTGGTTTACAATGGTTTTGCCAAAAACTGGAATTTATTTCCAGCTTTTAGCAAAACTGCACTCGTAGCAAACAATTGGTTTGCTTTATGACCACCACAAAAAAGGTCATAAAGTTAGATTGGTTACATGACCATTTACAACCTTCATAACTTATAGCAATGATGGCAGGCTTCATTATGGTTGTAACTTGAGGACTACCTTTACTAGACTATAAAATACTTCACAAAAAAATGACAGAATCATATGCAGAGAGATATTATATTGAAGTAGTGACAACTCTTAGACAATAAGGTAGTATAGACAATTGCTCTAATGTCAAATTATTGTCATATAAGAATGAAGTAAATTATCAAATTATTATCAAATAAGAAATCACTAAGCTCAGATGAATTACTATTGAATTTGTAAAGTTACAAGAAAAGAGTTTTGGAGTCCTTGGTACTCTCTGAGCTTGGTTGTTTTCTTGCAGATGTTTCCTTACCCAAACTAGGTAACATCATCAGTGCAAAAGAGAGTTAATTTTTTTAACTTCTCTATATCAACCAATGTGAATTAAGTCCATGCAACCAAGAAATTGGATAATACTATCTTACATATCTATACCAAAGAAATGAGATGCAAAAAAAGTATGCACGTTATTAAAAATCAAGTTTCAGTGAAGAACTTGCAAAGAAGAATACACAGTGTACTGAGAAAGAAATTCTAAATAGCCAGACAAGATTCAGAAAAATGTAAGAACAGAGAGCTAACACAGGATAAATAAAGAGCAAGAAAACATAGAAGATTCATCTTTGTTTTCTTCACAAAAAGGCAGCCATATACATCCTTATAAGGATGTATAAGGCTGCCCTACTCAGGCAGTGTGACTGGGCAACATACAACATAAACATAGAATAATATTTTTATTTGTTTGTCAAGTTTCTACACCGCCCATCTCACTTAAGTGACTCTGGACAGTCTACAAACAAGTTAATAAAGAAATATATAACATGACTAAAAGCACAGTTAAAAACAAAATTAAAAAACATTAAAATTTACAAGTTATCAATATTAATGATAATTTAAAAACTAACCACAAACAGCTGATATATAAATACAAAAGCCAAGATGTAAAATGGCACAGAAAGAATTGTGATCATATTAAAATGCGGACTATTGTAAGGCTAGTTGAACTTATTGGGAGATTTTATTGTTCTTATGAAGAAGCTCTTTATGGAAAAAGAACATACGCTAACAACTGAATTTGGAGAAATGGATGGTTTAGGGAAGGGAATGAAATGAGGGCACACCTCAACCTCATGTTTACTGAGTTGCATACTGAATATAATCTTAAAAGGGCAGGACTGGAATAGATGACAGCTGAAATCAAAATAGCATTAGTGTTTTGCCTCCGGCAGGACTTCAACTGAACAGTTTCCTGGTTTCTAGCATGATGACCTAACCACTACCCCTACTGGCTCTTAGCAAATTCATATTAGGCATCAAAGAACTGAAGGTGGTAATTTTTTTTTCTTGGGTTTAAGAATATGTACTAATGGTTAGTGTAGTGGAGAAAAAAAGAGGAGATTTGCCTTCCTCCCTAAAATCAGTAATAGACTAATACAAGATCATGATAATAAAAGTTGGAAGAATTAAACCAACAGTTGCAATGGATGTGGGGACAGTAAGAATGTGGGAAACACAGATTCTAGAGCATAGGTGTCCAACCTTGTCAATTTTAAAACCTGTGAACTTCAACTCCCAGAATTCCCCAGCCAGCCAAGCTGGCTGGGGAATTCTGGGAATTGAAGTTCACAATTCTCAGTATAGATGCCTTCACTTTGCACTGGATATAGGCTGACTTTTTTAATAGTTATGCATACAGATACATCAGTACGTAGGTAGATATATAGATCCATGTGTGTAAATACGATACAATTCGGCGCCTGCAGCCAGCCTTGTAGCATCCTCAGAGATCAAGCCCCCCTCACGAAATATCATTATTTAGGGCAGAGTATTGAAAATACCATTCAGACAGCTTTCAAATGCTGTGAGGTTTTAGTGCTGTCAAGATGAGTGTCTGTGACCTAAAATTAGCAGATTAACTGCAGATCCTGAGATCAATCAGTTATTTGGAACTGCAGGCTTCCTTTTTCAGCATTAATCTGTCTTTCCTTCTTGCCTGCAATTAGGAAAAGCTGCTTTTATCTCGTGGGTGGAATTCTGAGCAGGAAGCTTACACAGTGTGGAAGGATTATTATAACTACTGGACTGACATTTTTGGATTCCTTCATGAGAAACCAGACAGCAGGTTCTGCTTCCTGAAATGTGAATTTAGCTAGTTTAGCTGAGCAAAGGCTGAAGTGATGTGATGCTTTTCCTTGCATTCTAGGAAGATATCCCATAGTGAATGCAATACTGTACAGAGAGTCCTTGACTTACAACTGCTTGTTTAGTAATTGTTCAAAGTTACATTGGTGCTGAAAAAAAATGACTTATTTTTACACTCACAACTATTGCAGCATCCTGATGGTCACGTGGTCGGATTTTGGTTGCTTGGCAACTAGCACATCTGTATAACAGTTGCAGTGTCCCTGCTTCATGTGATAACCATTTATAGCCTTCCCAACTAGCTTCCAACAAGCAAAGTCAACGGGGAAGTCAGATTCACTTAACAACTGTGTTACTAACTTAACAATGCAGAGATTCCCTTAACAACTATGGCAAGAAAGGCTGTAAATTGGGGCCAGACTCACTTAACAACTGTCTCACTTAGCATTGGAAACTTGTGTCCCCAAGTGGAGGACTGCCTGTATGCAGATTTTCATCAATTCAGCCTCATAACTGACTAAATTTCTTTCCCTTTCAGACATGCACCTACGGTAGGATTGCTTTCTTAAAAATTTAAACGTTGACTGTGATCAAATTTTAGAAAGTTGCTATTCTTTTCTCATAACAATTAGTTTCTCTGCCTTTTCCACCCTTGTATGAGGATCCACTTGACTTATCTTTGGTACATGCACAGATTAGAATATCAGGAGCTTTTGCTTATAGTCCCTTATTGTGTACAGTATGTGAAGCTGATTTTATTATAGGACTGGACCTTGTATTTTATATTTTAGTTTTGCACTAGATTGAACATAAGTCCATAATTACTTATCCCGGTGATAACGGCAGAAAAGGTTATTGGTAGTTCACTTCCTTCTAATCTAGGACATGGCATATATACTGCTCGTGTACAATCCGCAGTATTGTTCTCAACCTGTGGGTCGGGACCCCATTTGGGGTCGAACGACCATTTCACTGGGGTCTCCAAACAACGCAGTCTGCCATTTTTTCCCCCCTTTTCCTTAGCTGTGCTACTCCCTTTTATTCTATTGGCTTTTGAAAGCCAATAGAATATACTCTCTTGAATAGAGTCTAATTCTATTGGCTTTCAAAAGCCAATAGGAATTGTCCAGGCTGTCTCTGCCCTGCTGAGCCCGCCAAAAGTCCCATTCTGCAAACAGTGCTGCACCAGTTGAGTAGTCCTCGACTTACGACCGGTTGGGGGGTCGCGGCATTAAAAAGGTTGAGAACCACTGGTACACACACACACACACACACACACACACACACACACTTTTTTTTGAGGGCAGGCAGCAGAATTTCATTTTTAATGTATGTATATAATATATATAATTTGCTCAGTGCAAATGCTTAATCTTCTTGTTGTCTTTTCCTCCCTTCAGAGATTAGCCGTAATCTACTGCCACGTTCCCGCCGCCTGCTCCTCTTGCTCAACCCCTTTGGGGGCAAAGGTAACGCACTGCAGTGGTGTCAGAGTCACATCCTTCCCATGATTACTGAGGCAGATGTCAGCTTCAACTTGATCCAAACAGGTAAAAGTTCCAATGGGAAAAAAGTGACTTTAAGAATAGTGGATGACTTTATCTCTTGACAGCCTTCCCCACGCTGGTGTCCTCCAGAATCTCACTGGCCCTGCAAGTTGGAATTCTGGGAGTCACAGTCCATATGCATCAGAAGGCCAGCAGAATGGGAGAAGTTGGCCCGGGAAACAAACCATAACCTATTTTTTAAGAGTTGATGTTTTGAAGCCATCATGGGTGGAACAAGAATGCAAAGCTGACTTGTGGATATATTCAATGACTGTGATTTTCCAGGATACCGATGGTGGTGAGGATAATGATACTCTTTGCTCTTTTTTTAACTAGTAATCCTACCTTGAATTAGTTTCTTATAGCGGTTAAGGCAGCAGACTGGAAATCAGGAGACTGTGAGTTCTAGTATCACTTTAAACATGAAACCAATTGGGTGACCGTGGGCTGGTGATTATCCTAGGAAGCAAGCAACAGTAAACCACTTCCAAAATCTCTGCAAAGAAAATGTCAGGGACTTGTCTAGGCAGTCACTAGGAGTCAAGTCAAGTCTCAAAAACACACACATACAAAATCCTGCTTATATTATGTGTTTGTTTCTTTTATATATCAAAGTAGTGAAAAATAACATTTTGGGGGCAGTTATGGTCACAGAGCTCTCTAGGAACTGAAGAAAATAGTTGAGTGACCGTAAAGGGTGTCAATCTGCCGGTGGCATCACACGGAGAGAGGCTGGGTTTTCCCCAGCTCCAGCAATGAAAAAAAGTCGCAATACATCGTGACATGTCCCGTGACAAGGCGAGTTTGACACTCGTGATCTGGGTGATGTTAAGTCAAGTGGTAAGGATTTCTCATTTCCAGTTTTTTAACCACGAGAACAGCAGAAGTGCTCCAAATTTGACTGGATTACACTACTGAAAGGAGAAAGTTAGAAGTAGGGAAAACTAAGTGTGGGTTGTACAAAATGTAATGTGAATCGAGTTAACTTTTAACATCCCATGTTTACCATGAGGTGGAGAGGAAAACCCAACATTACTGAAATAAAATCTATTATGGGTAGCCCTCAAATTATGACCATACTTCAGCCCAACATTTCTGCTAAGCGAAACATTTGTTAAATGAATTTTGCCCAATTTTACAACCTTTTTTTTTTTTTGCCACAGTTGTTAAGGGAATCACTCCAGTTGTTAAGTTAGAAGACAATTGTTAAAGGAATCTGGCTTCTCCCTGCTTGTCGGAAGGTTGCAAAAGGTGATCACATGACCTTGGCACACTGCAACCATTATAAATCTGAGTCAGTTGCCAGGCATCAATTTTGCGTCAGTATGAAAAACAGTCATGTCATCTTTTTAAGTGCCATTGTGAGTTCAAACAGTCACTAAATGAACTGTTGTAAATCGAGGATTAGCTGCATTCTATTTTTTGGGAGTTCAGGTTAGTGCACTTACTTTATTGGCAAATTAAACCACGATGCTTCAAAATTCATCCAAACGGAAGAATAGACATGTATTTACTATTCATGTTTTCATCAGGTTAATCTTGGAAAGATAGTGGAATCAATCTCCAAACAAAAGTTAGATCATGTTTTGTGTAGAAGTGGTGGCTGCAACCAACAGTTCTCTAAAGAAATAAAGCCTCTTTAGTTTTGATGCCCCATTTCTGAAAATTTGAAATCCAGCTGCTAAACTCAATACTGTTTTCATCCATGGGGAGTGAAAGTCTTCTAGAGCCACCCACATATTTAAAAAAGATATAGAGAAAACTAACAGCCAGAGGATCCATTGGATTCAGTGAAATTTTGTTAAAATGGTTTTTTTTTTCAAGATGACCTGCTTGGTGTATTGTGGTTTCTTGTAGAAAACAATGAAACGATCATCATAGACAATTCTGTGGAGCATAATCCATAAACATCTGTGAATTAGGTTAACGGAAAAAAATCTCAAAATTCAGGATGAGGTATTAGAATTTGCTATATCTGCCTTTGCTTCAGGCTTCTCCAAAGGTCAGGATTGACTAGCATCTGCAGAATGATCTTCTAGCTATACCAGTTTTTACTAAATATGAAGCTCTTGCAACATTTGAGAACAGGCGTGTCCATAAGAACACTTACAGTATACAAGAGGGGGGAAACTGTGAGGTTTTGGGGGAAGGTGGAAAATCTTTCTCCAGCCAAGCCTTCCCTAAGAAACGTTTTAAAAAAACACAATTTCCCCTCCGCCTCTGTCCTTCTCTCCAGCTTTCTGTACCACTGAAAATAATTATGCTTCCTGCTGCTGACGTTGCATGCAGTCATAAACGCAAACCTCCTCACCCAAAGCTTTGCATAATCACTAAAATACAATTAGAATTAATTGTTCACCAAAATGTGGAAATTACAGCCATTTACTTTATAGCCCCAGATTTTCATCCACAGTGCCAGTCACACACTCTTGTGCAATAACTTCAGCCATTCAGTAATTAATGCAACAGCGTCTTCATTCCATATACTTATAAATAGCCACTTCCTTCTCACAGAAGACAAGTCACAGTTGTCGCCAAGACACCAGACACTGAAGCAAGCTGTCAGGTCAGAAAAGAGACTTGGAGGAGCTCAGCTACTTAATGTTATGCCTGTCCTTGTCTTCCCCAGAGAGACAGAACCACGCCCGGGAGCTGGTGCAGAGCATCTGTTTAGATGAATGGGATGGTATTGTGGTCATTTCAGGAGATGGACTTCTTCATGAGGTATTGTTTAAACAACAGCAACAACAACAAAACTAACCAGTGGAACAGCTTGCCTTCAGATGTTGTGGGTGCTTCATCACTCGAGATTTTTAAGAAGCGACTGGACAGCCACTTGTCTAGTCCTCAAGCAGGAGACCCTTCTAGCTCAAGCAGGAGACCCTATATCAGGGGTAGGCAACCTTGGCTCTTTTATGACTCGTGGACTTCAACTCCCAGAATTCCTGAGCCACCAGCTTGGAAACTCTCCCTTTCCCCTCATCATGGCTGGCTCAGGAATTCTGAGTTGAAGTCCATGAGTCATAAAAGAGCCAAGGTTGCCTACCCCTGATATAGGGTCTCCTGCTTGAGCTAGAAGGGTCTCCTGCTTGAGGACTAGAAGACCTCCAAGGTCCCTTCCAGCTCAATTCTATTCTAAGTTCAAAAAGACACCTGCTCATACTCACTTCCAGTTACCTGTAGAGCTCCTTTGTTGCTTCTCTTAAAACTGGAAAAAAATAAAATTTTCTGATCTATTTGGGTGGGGTTTGGGGAAGAGAAGGCCTCTCTCCTTCCACCTTCTGTCTAGATGGGGATAGAAAAAAAGAGGCTAATTGAGAACATTGGAATTTCCTTGATTTTTTTTATATGTTCTTCCCGATATCCTCTTCCTAAAAAATATTATCGAGAGATCGTATGTAAATATTCCTGAGATAGGTGTTTGCCTACATTAGCTCCACCTTTCCCTCCAGATATGTTGGGTTATAATTTCTGTATGTAGAAGTCCTCAACTTAACAACCACAGTTGGGACTGGAATTTTCATCTCTGAGCTGTGTGACATTAAGTGAGTCACGCTTGATTTCACAGCTTTTGTTTTGCTGTGGTTGTTAAATGAATCATGTGGTCAGATGAATCCAGCTTCCCCCATTGGTTTTACTTGTCAGAAGTTCCCCTTGAAAAGGTCGTAAAGGGCATAATGTGGGACTCTGTAACTGTTGTAAATACAGGTAGTCCTTGACTTACAACCATTCCTTTAGTGACGGTTCAAAGCTACAACAGCATGAAAAAAGTGACTTATGACCGTTTTCACACTTAGGACCGTTGTAGCATCCCCGTGGTCACATGATCAAAATTCAGACGCTTGGCAACAGACTCATATTTCTGACAGTTGCTGTGCCCTGGGGTCATGTGATCCCCCTTTTGTGACTTTCCAACAAGCAAAGTCAATGGGGAAGCTACATTCACTTAACAATAATGTTACTCACTTAACAACTGCAGTGATTCGCTTAACAACTGTAACAAGAAAGGTCATAAAATGGGGAAAAACTCACTTAACAAATGTCTCACTTAGCAATATAAATTTTGGGCTCAGTTGTGGTCCTAAGTCAGGGGGTGCCTTTACATGCCAGTGGCTAAACACGTGACTTTTGTTCATGTGACCGTGGAGACAGTGCAACGGTCATAAGTGCAAGGACAGGTTTTACTTTTTTCAGCACCATACTAACTTCAAATGATTGTTAAATAGAAGTCAAGTCAAGTCAATGTAATGGAAGGGCATAAGATCAGAGAAAGAAGCACTGAATTGTTGCATATCCGCCGCAGAGAACAATGTTGCGTTTTGGAATCCTGTTGATTGATCAGGAGGGTTTTACAAAAAAAAAAAACCCTATAGGATTCCTTGGAAGAATACTGTAAAACAGCAGTGCTGGATTTCCTACTATGCTTATATGGACTCCTCTGGTTTTTGGTTTTGTTTTTTTTTTTTTGGATGAAGAGCTGCACTAGAAGTACAAGTAATCTTCAAGTTAATGGAACCTGCTACATTATGGTTGTAAGTCATGATGGCTACACAATTTTATGAACATTTTCATTAAGTCATTAACTCTGAGTGGGTTCATCATGGGCTGGATTTGCAGAAAACCAGAAGTAGAGGCTGGTTTTCACAAAACCATTGTAAAATCTGGTCACTATGACCAGAAAACACTGAAAATGACTATAAATGTGACCCAGTTGCTAAGCCCCCAAAGTATGGGAGGGGCAACCATTGTAATTTTGAATTTGGATCATAAGTACCCCTTGATAGGTCATAGTTTCGAACAGTTACTAAGGGACCAGTCATAAGCCGAGGTGGCGCAGCAGTTAGAGTGCAGTACTGCAGGCCACTTTAGCTGACTGTGTTCAGCAGGTCAGCGGTTCAAATCTCACCGGCTCAAGGTTGACTCAGCCTTCCATCCTTCCGGGGTAGGTAAAATGAGGACCCAGATTGTTGGGGGCAATGTAAATATATATATATACATTGCTTACTGGTGTACACCGCTTAGAGAGTGCTTGAACTTAAAGCGGTATATAAGTCTCATAAATAAATAAGTCGAGGGCTACCTATATTCACCTCCATTTTCCTTTCAGGTTATTAATGGTTTGATGGAGCGTCCTGACTGGAAGGAAGCAGTTAAAATGCCTCTTGGGATTCTTCCCTGCGGATCTGGGAATGCCGTGGCAGCAGCTATTAATTGTAGTGCTGGGTAAGTGGGAGACCCTCTCTAAAATATAATGCAGTGGAGTTTAGGCCCAGTACTCTTCAACATCTTCATCAATGATTTGGATAAGAGGACAGATGGGGAACTCATCAAATTTTCAGATGACGCCAAGCTGGCAGGAGTAGCCAACCCTCCAGAAGACAGGCTTAATATGTGTTTAGAGCTCAAAGCATTGTTAGAGATCTCACACATCCACTTTATGGTCTGTTTCTGTTACGCCTCTCTGGGAGGAGGTTTCAGAGTATTTCTAGCAGGACTACCCAATAGCTTTGTTCCCTATGCCATCCGTCTGGTAAACTCGCAAGATTTGTTTTTCTTGCCATACACATGTATACATAACCTGAACTACTATAGGCTGTTATTTCTCTGTGTCATATAATATATATGGGTATATGCATAATTCTCTATTTATTTATTTATTTATTTCTGTCATATTTATGTAGTGTATATTGTAGGTGGTGACCCCTTGAGAGCTGAATGCAACAAAATTTCATTTTGATGCATGCCGATTAGTGTGCATTCAAAGTGACAATAAAGTTATTATTCTATTCTAACATACAGAAGGATCTTGACAAACTTGAACATTGGGCCGCTATCTGACAAAATGAAATTCAGTGGTGAAAAAAGTAAGATTCTACATTTAGGCAAGAAAAACCAAATGTACAGGTATAGTATAGGGGGTGGTACTTGGCTCAATAATAGTAACTGTGAGAGGGACCTTGGAGTCCTAGTGGACAATCAAATATGAGCCAGCTGTGTGCTGCAACTGCCAAAAAAGCCAATGCAGCTTAGGACTGCATTAACAGAGGGACAGAACCAAGATCACATGACGTGTTAGTACCGCTCTATAAAGCCTTGGTAAGGCCACACTTGAAATACTGCATCCAGTTTTGGTCACCACAGTGTAAAACAGATTGTAGAAAGAATAGAGAAGAGCAACAAAGATGATTAGGGGACTGGAGGCTAAAACATATAAAGAACAGTTGCTGAAATTGGGTATGTCTAGTTTAATGAAAAGAAGAACTTAGAGGTGACATGATAGCAGTGCTCCAATATCTCAAGGGCTACCACAAAAAAGGGGGGGTCAACCTTTTCTCCAAAGCGCCTGAAGGCAGGACAAGAAGCAACGGATGGAAACTAAACAAAGAGAGAAGCAACCTAGAACTAAGGAGAAACTTCCTGACAGTTAGAACAATTAACCAGTGGAACAATCTATCTCCAGAAGTGGTGAGTGCTCCAACACTGGAAGTTTTTAAGAAGAGACTGGACAGCCATTTGTCTGAAATGGCATAGGGTTTCCTGCCTGAAAAGAGGGTTGGACTAAAAGACCTCCAAGATCCCTTCCAACTCTGCTATTCTATTCTGTTCTAAAATCCTGGGAAGGGGTGGCCATTGCCTACCATGATCCTAGCCTTGCACTTCTGACCCAAGCCAGAAAGTGGCAGCATTTGTATCCTGTGTTCTTTAAGGCTCAGTCCTTGGATAGGAGAAGCTAAACCATGTACGAGTATCAGGAAGCATGCACAGAGGGTCTTCTTTCTTCTCCCACAAATAATAACTTTCAGTTTCTGTGTGCCTGCCATTCACAAGTGAAGCTTGCAGTACACAGCTTTGAAACTGGCCCTGTAATTAATTAGATAAAAGTGCTCTATTTGAGAAGGTACATTTGCTTTTAGGAGGGCAAAGAAAACCACTTGCATCAATGGGCCCTCTTTATGGTGTGGGATAATGAACATCATAACCATTTGCTAAGTTTCTATCCTGCAAAACTCATGCCCTGCCCTGCCCCACCCATGTTTCACCCTCCTAATACTGGTAACTTGTAAGGACATTGACAGTGAGTAATACCTGGCTGATCATGTCTTGGATCCTTAGCTAAGGAGGATCAGGCCTGGCTCCTACTTGGATGGGAGATTGCCAAGAAATAGCAGGGCTGGAGTGTAATGTTCAAACAGGATCCAGAACGAAGGTGGTAAACAACCCACTTCTGAAATATAACCAAGAAAAAGTGTGTTACCAGAAGTTGAGCTTGATCCAGAGACTTTCCCTTTCATTCTGTACTTATAAAAACATGTGATTCCCCGCCTCCCCCCCTTTTTTAGAGTTTGAAAAAAGACAAAAAAATAGATGGGCTAAGTCTCTAGAACAGTGGTTCTCAACCTTTTTAATGCCGCGACCCCCAACCAGTTGTAAGTCGAGGACTACTCAACAGGTCGTAAGTCGAGGACTACTCAACTGGTGCAGCACCGTTTGCAGAATGGGACTTTTGATGGGCTCAGCAGGGCAGAGACAGCCTGGACAATTCCTATTGGCTTTCGAAAGCCAATAGAATTAGACTCTATTCAAGAGAGTCTCTTCTATTGGCTTTCAAAAGCCAATAGAATAAACGGGAGTAGCACAGCTAAGGAAAAGGGGAAAAAAAATGGCGGACTGCATTGTTTGGCGACCCCCGTGAAATGGTCGTTCGACCCCAAATGGGGTCCCGACCCACAGGTTGAGAACCACTGCTCTAGAAGAATTCAACATTTTCATGTTTTCCTTGTAATTACCCAACTCTCCTCCCAAGCCAAAAAGGATGAAAATGTTGGTCCTAACCTCCATGTATCTATGTATTTATAACATTTTTTACTCCACCCATCTTACCTTGTTGACTCTGAGCTGTTTACAATAAAAATTATTCCTTTAGATTTGAATAGAAAAAGCTCACACAGGCTTAAGTGCCCCCCCCCCCAGGAAAATCTTGTGATTAAGAACTGATATATACCTTTTCAGCCCCTATGCCAGTGATGGCGAACCTTTTAGAGACCGAGTGCTCAAATTGCAACCCAAAACCCACTTATTTATCGCTGGGTGCCAGGTAGGCATGGCCCACTGAGTGGGCGTGGCTGTGGTGGTCATGGCAGATTGGGTGGGCGTGGCCAAGGTGGGCGTGATCACTTCTATGTTGCTCGTGGGGAGGGATGCCTGTGGGGGCAGGGTTGGGGGAGATCCAGGGGGCAGGTGGGGCGGTGGGCAGGAGGCTTATCCTGCAGGGTAAGGTGAGGCAGGGTGGGGGTGTCATTGTCACAGGACAAGGTGAGGCAGGGGCCGGCGCTGCTGCTGCCTGACACCAACAGTCCTGCACACACAGGTCAGCGAGCACACAGGTGCTGGGATGCATCTGGCCATATGGGACCTCAGCGAGTTAGCAGGCAGCTGGTTGAAGAGGAACGGTTGCCATCTCCGGGGCATGGTGCGTGTGCCCACAGAGAGGGCTCTGAGTGCCACCTTTGGCACGCGTGCCATAGGTTAGCCACCACTACCCTATGCACAGCAATTGTTTCTAAGATCTAGCATTTTGAAAATCCCCTCTTATTTAATAATAAATAATAATAATAACTTCCCAATGCTTGCGAGACTGGAATGAAGGCAGATTTCTCTCCCTGTAGGGATATGTATGTCTTGAGAACTATCAGCAAGTGATACATATCTGAATCAAATATTATGACAAATATTGAATTATGTCGGTCAGTGACTACTGCAGGCAGCCCTCCAGGCGATAAAAACTAAAAATTAAAACCCCAAGTGCATCCTCCAGCTGTAAAACAATTGTCCATCTAGGTTAGAGGTAGGCAACTTGGCTCTTTTATGACTTATGGACTTCAACTCCCAGAATTCCTGAGCCAGTCATGCTGAGGAGAAATGGAGAGGTTTCCATGCTGAGTCATGCCGGCTCAGGAATTCTGGGTGTTGAAGTCCACAAGTCATAAAAGAGCCAAGGTTGCCTACCCCTGACCTAGTTTATTTCCTAAATTTGCAGGTAAAAGTAGATTTCCTGTACAGATAGTCCTTGACATACAACCATTTGCTTAGTGACTGTTCTTGTGACCACTTTCCCCATGACTGTTGCAGCATTCTCATAATCACATGCTCAAAATCCACATGCTTGGCAACTGACTCATATTTATGACGGTTCCAGTTTCCTGGAGTCACATGATCCCCTTCTGACAAGCAAAGTCAACGGGGAAGCCAGATTCACTTAACAGCTATGTTACTAACTTAACAACTGCAGTGATTTACTTAACAACTGTGGCAAGAAAGAACACAAAATGGGACAAAACTCATTTGACAACTTTCTCGCTTAGCAACAGAAATTTTTGCCTCAATTGTAGCTGTAAGTCGAGGACTACCTATGTATTGTTTCTAAATGCTTATTCAGTGATGCTGTCCTGCCCTTTCTGTCCTTCCAAAGACATGGAGGTTGATAGATTGGACTGGACTGGACTGCCATCCACTTGGCAAATGACTCAGAGCAGTTTTGATTGTTCTGTCTCTGTTTTTTTGTCCCGTTGGCCAGGTTTGAACAGGTCTTGGGCCAGGAGCTGCTGACAAACTGTACCCTTCTGCTCTGCCATGGGGCAGTTTCTCCCTTGGACCTAGTCTCCATCACCACCGCATCAGGCGCCCGTGTCTTCTCTTTCCTAAGTGTGGCCTGGGGCTTCATTTCAGATGTGGACATCGAAAGTGAGAAATACCGGCACATGGGCCCAGCCCGATTCACCTTGGGAACCATGGTTCGCCTGGTTTCCCTCAACACTTACCGGGGCCGGCTCTCCTACCTTCCTGCTCTTGGTTGTGCAACTCATCGGCCGATTTTGCGCAGTATCACCGTAGCCGCCGATCGGAGGCTTCCCTTCCAGCACCTGCCCCTCCACCGCACAGTCTCTGATATGGGCCTTTGCGAGGAGCGCCAAGCCTTCTGCCATCGTGAGATGGAGTCAACTGAGGAGCCCACCCCCTCACCTAGCTCTCCACCTTCTTCTTCCAGCTTCCAAGCATCCAACTTCAGTTTTGAAACCTTGTCAGAAGTGACAGTTGACAAGGAGTCCCAGCACACCGATCTGCCCAAAGTTCTATCAAACCGGTTGCCTTCTGCCCGGCAAATGCATGGCCCTCTGGATGACTTTCTGGCCCCACTTGAACAACCGGTGCCCAAGTCCTGGGTGACGGTGGAGGACGATTTTGTGCTGATTTTGGCCATTTATCAGACTCACTTAGGGGCAGACCTCTTCACCATGCCCATCGCTGGCTTTAATGATGGTCTTATCCATCTTTGCTTTATCAGGGCGGGTATCTCCCGGGCAAGCATGATTCGCCTCTTCTTAGCTATGGAGAAAGGCACTCATTTTGAGCATGACTGTCCTTATTTTACACACCTGCCTGTCCGAGCTTTCCGCATAGAACCTCTCACTCACAAGGGAATCATTACCATTGATGGGGAACGGGTGGAATATGGGCCCATTCAGGGACAAATCCATCACGGGATTGCCAACTTAGTTACTGGGATCAACCAGTCTAAGCTGACTACCTTCTGATGGATTGTGTTAATTGTCTTGCAGAGACTAACAGTTCTAATTTGACTTCTGTTTCCTTTGATCTGTTCTCCAGCCACTAGAGGGCAAGATGCTTAAAATGACTCATTACCCTTCTAGGCATTTGAGCACATACATCTTATATCCTATTAATGCATCTATAGATTGTTTTGGCCATTGCTTTCCAAGAGATGCAGTAATCTGAAGGATGACTTCCTTCCTTCAACTCATCGCCTAGACAGGCTGCCTCAAGATTTTCCATCACTCAGAAGCCCCTGGGCTCCAAGTCTCTTGGTTTGAGTGAGGTGGAACACAAATGTAGTGCCCTCATACATATTTTTAATGTCTCAGTTATTGACCTGAGGTTTCCATAATTCCACCTAGCATTTCTTTCTGTCATAATTTTCCAACCCTAAATTAGCTCTTCCTCTAGGGCTTAGAGGCATCTTCCCAATAGGGCTTAGAGTAAGGTGACCAACTTTTTTACAATGAAAAGGAGGACACAAATAAATTGAAAAAAAATATCATAAATAAAACATTTTATTCATTGCAACAATAATATAGAATAAACCATAATATGATAAATGCATAATAAAAAACATTTGTAACAATAACATTTTATATTGTAATTATGCTTACATGCCACGCCCCCACCTGCAGCTGCCCCGCCATGTAGAGTGTGCCCCGCAGCTCCCAAAGCACCAGCTGCGCCGGCTCCAGCCCCAGGGGGCAGCCCGCCATCAACACACCCTGCCTGCAGCCGCCCCACCAGCACACTGCCCACCCTGCACAGCCCCGTGTAGAGCAGGCCCCGCAGCTCCCACAGCACGGGGGGCAGCCGGCCACCACCGCCCCTCACACCTGCCCGCAGCAGTCCCGCCGCCCCTGCCTCTTGCGCCCACAGCCATTATTGCCCTATCAGGGCCGAAGATCAAGAGAAAGTTACTGTGGCATTGCTGCTCCAGTCTCCTCCAGGTATCTTCAGGATTAACTAGGAGATGGTGTAGTTGAGTAGCAGGGAGGGGTGCAAAGTTCCTGCCAATTTGTCTTCGCTGCAGACAACTTATATGTGCAAATTTTGCCGGCCCAGTGTTTTGGCGTGCTCAGCAGCAATTCCTATTGGCTTTTGAAAGCCAATATAATATAATAGCAGTAACGTTGGAAGGGACCTTGGAGGTCATCTAGTCCAACCCCCTGCTCAGGCAGGAAACCCTACACCATCTCGGACAAATGGCTGTCCAATCTCTTCTTAAAAACTTCCAGTGTTGGAGCATTCACCGCTTCTGGAGGCAGGTTGTTCCATTGGTTAATTGTTCTGTCAGGAAGTTTCTCCTTAGTTCTAGGTTGCTTCTCTCCTTGATTAGTTTCCATCCGTTGCTTCTTGTCCTGTCTTCAGGTGCTTTGGAAAATAGCTTGATTCCCTCTTCTTGATGGCAGCCCCTGAGATAGTGGGAGTAGCACAGCTCATGCAAAAGTTGGAAAAAAAAACATCAAAAAAAGGTGCCGGAACGCCATTCTGAGTGTTCTATGAGAAAAAAAGCCCTGCAGATTAGTCTTCAAATATCGAAAAGGAGGACATGTAGGAGGACATTTTTCGAGGGAGGACAGAACTCACAAAAGGAGGACAGTTGGTCACCTTAGCTTAGAGGCATCTTTCTCACTATTGATGGTTAGAGACAGTAAGCAGTTGTCTATCTACCCTATATTTTTGCCAGTCCCTTAAAAATCCTGGCTTACTTAAAGCTGTAGGGCTGGGATGGTGGTTTAGCTCGAGAGGTTCCAGAGGAATTGACCATTAAGGCTTCCTCTGCCCTTTAGTCCTTCGAACTCAAATTAGCCTGATTTTTCAGCACTTGGTTTAAAACACTGGACTTTGCCTTTAAGCAAAACTTGACGTTCCACTGCTGAAGTGGGATTCCTCTGCCCCCTTTCTCCAAGAGGCCGGTCAGTCCCCTATGCCAAGGTCTCGCCCATCTTTTGCTCACATTTCAAAAGAACTAGAGCGGTGCTTCTCAACTTTGACAATTTTAAGGCATGTGGACTTCAACTCCCAGAATTCCACAGCCAGCAATGCTGGCTGTGGAATTCTGGGAGTTGAAGTCCACATGCCTTAAAATTGTCAAGGTTGAGAAACACTGAACTAGAGGATGGGGACTGAGCAAGGTAGACTCATTTACTGTAGAGGCCCTGACAGTTCCGCTCTTGACATGCACTCTTGCACCTGTCCTCCATATAAACTGGAGTTGGGAAACGTAGGTGCCTCCAAATATTGCTAGACTACAAAACCCATCCCTGATTGCTGGTCAGATGGGCTGGGGCAAAGGAACAATATTTGAAGACCACAGGTTTCCCTGGCTTCCCAGCCTAAATGCAGGCCAAGGGAAGGCCCCTGAAACTGGACTTTGAATATATGGATAACTTGCTAAACACTGTTTGTTGGAGTGTTTTATCTCTGGGTTTTTTTTCCCAGATAAGTTAATTAAGGCCAATTGTTTTGTCTTCTCTCCTGGTTTACAGGGGGTTGCGTTTGGGTGGTCCTGCTATTCTTCCTCTCCATGGATGACCAAAGCCATATAAGGAAAGGAAGAGGACTCTATTTTCTGCAACCTACAACTGCTGATTTCTAACCAGCTTATGGTATGCTAGAGGGAGCTTAAAATACTATCTCCCTTTCATATCATGACTTGAAATTGGCTTCATTTTAGGAATACACTGGATGAATGTAACTGGATTTTTCTTATGGGAAGAATTGTGTTAAGGTGGTTGTTTTTCCCCTCCTCACCATGTGGGGGCTAACAACCAATTAATTAAATTGATCCAAAACTGTAAGAGATAAGTGTTTGCATATGTGACAAAGCTTATAATATGTGTTCTCCCTCTCTTTCTCTGTTGTAACTAATTTCAAACCACGAGACCAAGTTGGTTAACATCTCTCTTGTCTAACTTTTCCCAAGTTCATATACAGTGATAATCCCTACAGCAAGTAATCGCTTAGATTGAGTCTCAACTTGCTTCAGGTTCTATGCCAACTTTAGTAGGAACTGGCTGATCTCAAAAAGCTGAGCAGGAGTGCCTGATTAACACTTGGAAAGCCAAAACTTTAGGAAAGCTGTAAAAAATATCCTGAATCTGGGAATAAAACAGCAAACTGCTTCTGTAATGCTTCCAAGAAAACTTTGTGGACATAAACACTGCAGGAATCAACCCTTTTCTTTTGGCTTCCCTGATCTGAGCGTGGGTTATGCTGTAAACATGGGGAAAGATAAATGTGAAGGCCTGAGACTTTCTCCTTCATGTGGACATTTTGGGACATGTGTCATGCAAATTTGGACATATCCTATTGCTCTAGCCTTTCTCGGCTCTGTCATCTAGCTCCAAGCTGGAAGAAAGCATGTGAGTGAAGAAGCAGTATGTAAAGATGGCTGTTCCTCATGGTTTGTCTGTCTTCTGGGAGAGTTACAAGAGGATTGAACTGGCAAAAAGGATGTTGAAGCAAAAGAGGGGCCAATTATGAAAGCACAGAATCCGGCCCATAAAAACAAGAGGACAAGGCCAGAAGCTGATACCTTGGGATGTATTTTGTTAACTAGATCATAGAAGCTTAGATATTTAGGCCCTCCCGAGTCCCACCCTTCCATAGTGCAAAACATCCAAATTTAAACATCCCTTATAGGAGGCTGTGTACGGTCCAGCTGAAGTTATCTACAAAGAAGAGCCATCACCTTCCTTCGTCATAAGCTTCAGTGCTGATTATCTCTTGTTAAGAATTCTTTTTCTCGTGTTCAGTTGAAATCTGCTTCCTTATACTTTATATCTATTACCCCCTGTCCAGCAGATTGAAATGCGAGTAAGGCGGTCTTGACTTTATACTACGTGATACTTTTGGGCATTTGAAGAGAGCTACTAGATCCCTGCTCCATGTTGTCTTTTCAAGACCCAGTTCAATCTTTACTCTTATGAGTTAGTTTCTATCCCTACCACTGCCACCATGCAGTAAACATAGTATGGCTTTGTACTTTGCCTCAGTTGCAAGCATCCTGATGCTGCTGGGTCTATGGCAAGGATGAGCAGAAAGTAGATTTGGATCCATTGAACAAATGTAGATGGGGGAGGGAGTCCTTGTTAAATGTTGGTGGCAGCAGCAACAGGAACAAAATAGCCACTTGCTGGAAGTGAAGTGAACCGAGCATAATATGGATTTTTTTGGATGGAGAGTGACCCATACAGGTAGTCCTCGACTTAGGACCATAATTGAGCCTGCAATTTTAGTTGTGATGGTCATAAATTGGATTGCCACATGATCACGGACAATTTTACAAGCTTTTTTTGCGGAGGGGAGATCGTTAAGTGAATGCTATGGTCGTTAAGCAAACCCATTGTTTGCTATGGCTGTTTTTTTGCCAGAAACTAGAAATAAAGGCTGGTTTTCAACAAATATGATATAAATTGTGGTCACGTGACTGCAGGAGGTTGCAAATGACTACATGCAGGCTGGTTGTTAATGCGCACAATACAGTCACATGATCTTGGGGGAGGCAGATGTTAGAACTTGAAATCCAGGTTGCAATTAGCTTTTTCGAACTCTGTTGTAACTTCAAACAGTCGCTAAGTGACTGGTCTTAAGTCGAGGACTCCGTGTATATTCATTTCTGAATGCCATCACAAATTCCTGCCTTTTAAGTTGCATCCTAATTGATGCTTTGATTTTCTGCTAACAGACATGCTTGATGGAAGGCGAAAGAAAGGGTAATGCACATCTGAATCCCTCTCTCTGCTGGACCATGTAGAGAGGAGCTCAAAGTGTATCCAAAATATATATATATAAAATAGAGCATTGGGAGCAGGATGGCAGAAAGTCAGTGCTGGTGGACTCCAGGTGACAAGTCGGAGCATGTCCTTCCCATGGATGAAAACCCCTCCCCCTTTTAAAGATTATAGTTGTTGCTAACCTCATGGGCAGATATTAAGAACGATTGCCCGCTCAGCTGCTTGCTGCTCTTTAGCAACTGCAATAATATTTATAAATAATATTGCACAATGCACAAAAGTTCCTTAGCTTGAGCCTGGCTATGAAAACGGGTTGAATTACTTACCACAAAGTATTTGTAAGTAATACTTTGCTGAAGGAAGAATGGGGTGCTGGCGTTTGGCCCCTTCAGTTAACTGTCTTGAAAAGTTTACTAGACGTGCTCTCTCAAAGTCATCATATTAACAGCTTGTCACTTATATATGCACATAGGAGTAGTTCTTGGATTGCTTGATTAATTTTGAAGCCAGTAGAATTGCTGAATTCACCTTTTCCCCTCTTTTCTCACTTTTTCCTGTTTCTACAGTATGTATATATCTGTGCTTGGGTGCTGATACTTGCCCTAGCCTAATGAAGAATTTTGTGGAAGTCTAGAAGGTGAGAAAATACCTTTCTCTTTGCTGCTAGCCTTATAAGCCCCTCCTACCTTGGTCTTGTGGCAGAGTAAGAGCCCAGTTCAAAATAAAGATGATAATAGGCAAGGCTGTGTATCTTCGTCTGGGATTTGCTGTAAAATTTAGCTTCCCAAGAAAGCCATTTTTACAGTTTTACGTGAAATCCTATTTTCCTCCCTCCATTCCTCTTTCCTCCATGTCTTCGATCCCCTCCCTCCCAACCATTCTCTTCATAATCCCTTCCTTTCATTTTATATGTCCTTTCTTTCTTTTTGAGCCCTCTCTCCCTTTCCATCTTTTGTTTTCCCAGCCAAATTCTCTTCCCAGAGACCATCCCTTATAGACCACTTGAAATTGATACACAGGCAACATGGAGCTTATTCATGTTCCTGCCTCTTGGCAATTTCACAAGCTTTGGGAAATGGCAAAAATGTGAATCATATTTTTTAAAAAATATCCTGCAACACTTGCAATTGGTAATGGGGTAGGGACCATCTGAAGGCTTATTTTTAATTTAAATTAATTTATTATTTGATTAAAAACCTTTATTTTGCACCATCAATGCTTATTTACATTGCACATTTAAACCAGTTTTTCCCTAGTTGTCAAGATCCCTGATCAGAAGACCCCGATAATTAATTCTGTAAAGGGGCTTCCAGAATCCTTAGCAAGTCTTCCAGTGAATTGTTTTGTTTTCATCCTGGTTATTTGAAGGAAATGTTAATTCATTAAGAAAAATGTAGTTAGACTTGAGTGATCAGTTGCTCAACAACATAGAATTTTTTCGCAGCCGTGATAGAACAATTATGTAGAAAGAATGATGTTGGCTCTATTCTACTGGAGAGAATTAAATCCCAATTCAATATTTCATTATTTGAATGGATAAACTCTGCCCCTCACTCTTTTTTTCTGTCTCATCTATTTTATAAGATGGCTGAGGGATTTTTTTAAAAAAAGAATGGGAGGGCCATCATATGGGTCTGCCTTAGGCATGAAAACCAACTAGGTGACTTTGGATTAATTATCAGAAGACTGAATTCTAGTCCCACCTTAGGCATGATTATGGGCTGAGAGACTATGACTGGCCCAAGGTTACCCACCTGGCTTTGTGGCTAAGGCAGGACTTAACCATCTTCCAGTTTCTAGCCTGATGTTTTAACCCTGCACCAAACTGTTTCTCTGTGGGTTTTTTTTTTTTTTTTTTTGAAGTTTTTATTTGTCTCCTTGCACAAATTATTCCAGACTGTCTCATTACTTGGGTGGTTTTCATGTTTATCACACACACCGCAGCATTGGTATGACCCCACTTGTGATTTTGTGTTCCACGGTTGCTGAAATTAAGCAAAGTTGAAAAAGGGGGAAGAATAGGATATCTCATAGAAATAATTTTTCATCCCCACCCCCAAGAAAAAAGAGGAAATATAGATTAAAAGGGTGGCCAAATACTTAGCTGGTTATATTATACTTTGCAGTTGGAATAGAAGACATTGTAAAAATAATAAAATGGCTCAAACCCAAGCTCTGCTGACAGCTGCTAGAATTTTATGGTTGCAGTGTATGCTGGGAAATGTAGTTTTTGTGAGTAGGAAGTGAGCTTAGTTCCTTTCAGCTGTCTCAGTAGATGACATTTGAAATGTTTTCTTGCAATCCCACTGCCACCCCTAGGAAACATTTCCACACTGACAGTGTCATTTCCATTTTGGATGGCCGTATTAAGTTTGTGTGAATTAAAACTTGGCTTGTGCCCTTTTCTGTTTGCAGAGGTTTTGTAAATGGTCACAAATAAACACAATCTTCTTATTCTTTTATCTTACCCTTTCGACAGCGGAAAAAGCTTACATTTCTGATGCAATTCTGTCTGGTTAGCATAGCCCAGGAGTAGGCAACCTTGGCTCTTTTATGATTTGTGGACTTCAACTCCCAGAATTCCTGAGCCAGCATGGCTCAGCTTGGAAACCTCTCCCTGACCTGTCAGCATGGCTGGCTCAAGAATTCTGGGAGTTGAAGTCCATGAGTCATAAAAGAGCCAAGTTTGCCTACCCATGGCATAGCCTAAAAGACTTTTTCCCTCATCTTCAATTGGTAAAAGATTTTTATTTTTGCCCCATCTCCAATTTTGCTTAGGCTCTGGAATACAATGCTCCCACTGAGATTAGATTACTATATATAATTCTTGTTTCTGAGGCAGCCTTTAGACACAATATGGAAACAAAACCTCCATATTGTGGCTGTTTCATTTGTAGCTCAATTTTAAGTACTAGTTTTGGCTTACCAATTTTAGCCAACATTCAGACCCCATCAGTTGCAAAGGATGCCCCTATTTTTTTTCTGCCTGGAATATAAACTCCAGGGCTTTGAGGGTCAGCAATGCGAAGGGTCAAGTTGAAAACACAGTTTTTCAGTCATGATCTCACGTCGGTAGAATAAACTTCCAACTGGGTTTGGCAAACTGCTTATTGCCTGTTTTTAATGGAGTGGTTGCTTATTTGTTTATGGGTTGTAATGTTTTTCTAGGTCAGACATTTAAATTGCCTGTTTGTAGCCCTGGTTTGTGTTAAGGCTTTGTTGTTTGCATTATCTGGAAGGAAAAAAAACCACAGAAGTTTTTCTGGCTTCCAGGTGGCTTAGCCAACTTTTGAAGATGCCAAGAATTTGTACCAAGCTGCTTTAGAAACTGTGAGGAAAAAAAAAAAAGGAGGGAATGGCATCAGTACATCTCTTTCCATTAGCAAATTCTGCTTTTTGAGTTTCTGGCCCTTCACTGCAAAACCTTCACTGTAAAATCCGGAATATGGTGCTGTCAGGATAGACACATCTTAATTAGAGGCATAATTCTCTCTTTCCACAGCATCTATTTATTTTTGTCCCTTGATGCATTCAGCCTTGTCTGTTAGTTCCTCCTGCCTTACTCCATCTCCTTCCTAGAGAGTCATCAACTGTGTAATGGAGGCTGTTCCAGTCTCAGACCACCACCCCTTCCTTTTTAGCCAAGGCATCTTTCTGATTCTCCAGCTGTGAGAATCTTGTCCTCGGCACAAGATTGGAGGGGGGGGGGAGTAATTTGGGATGTTTATCTGTCTGAATGTATTGTAGAGTTTAAACATTTTGTCTCCAGCTGCCTCTGCTGTGTTGCCTGTCAGCTAAATAATGTTTAAAGTGAATATTCTTCAACTCCGTAAAACAACAGCAAAGCAAAAACATCTTATGCAATAAAAGCAATAGCATATAAAGTTCTGGTCCTTGACTTTGTGTGCTGACTTGGAGGCTAGCAGAACAGAGAGACCCTTGTTTTAGGTCAGATGACAACATTGTCTGGGTGCTTGGCTAAGAAATAATATTGATAGTCCTCAACAACCATTCATTTAGTGAGTGTTCGACATTTCAACAGCACTGTAAAAAAATCAAGGAAAACAAATCGAGAGAATAACCCTAGAACTAAGGAGAAATATCCTGACAGAAACAATTGGTGGAACGACTTATTTCCAGAAGTTGTGGGTGCTCCAACACTGGAAATTTTTAAGAAGACACTGGACAAATTTGTCTGAAATGTACAGGGTTTTCTGCTTGAGCAGGAGGTTGGACTAGAAGACCTCCAAGGTCCCTTCCAATTCTGTTATTCAGTTAACTGACTTATATGCAATCTTCTGATGACTTCTAAAGTCTTTATTCTCCTATCCAGGCCAGCTGAAAGTTCTTCCTAATGTTTAGCCTAAATTTGCTTCCTTGTAATCTGAACCTACTAGCTGAGTCTCATGTTCCAGGTCAAGCATTAGCAAACCATTGTGGCACACATTTTATTTTTAAGCCATGGCCACAGTTATTCCAAAATCATAGCTGTCATTCCTAAAGGGCCTTAACCTAACCACAAAGCAGACCTGCACTGGCAACCTGCTTCTTCCTACTATGTTCCCATGAAGCTTCTTCATCTCCTCCCCAGCCCATGAGTGATTCAAGCTGAGGCTGCCCTCAACTGTTCCAGCTTTATAGCAGCCTGTTCCTCCTGAGTCCAGCCGCCTCCAAAAGTGTCCTCCAGTTAAGCAAGCTGCATTGGGCATGGTCATCCAAGATCTTGGAAGGTTTCCAGATGGCTGTGGTGACTGGGAACAGAGGCAGTAGACACAAGATAGATGTAATGTGGAGAGTCAATTCATGTTGATAGAGTTTTCTGTCAAATCAAGTGAGTGCGATATGCTTCAGTGCAGCAGTGGGAAAGGCAACAAAAGTGGAGGAAAAGAGCAGCCAGAGCTGAGGGTGGAGTTAAATGCATCATCAGCTTAGAGTCCTTACATTGCTACAACCGAACCAAATCCAGTCACCCTTGAATTGCATTGACATTGATTCAAGTTTGAACTTCAGTTGACTAGATTCTTATATATGGGCTTGACCAATAAACCTAGTCAACTAAAGCTCAAATTTGAATCAGCACTAGATAAGGGTCAGTGGAATTCAAGGGGAGCTGGACTTGAATCGTTTATGGCAAGGTAAGGACTCTAAGCTTACGAACATATTTAATTCCACCCCCCGGCACAGTCTGCTCTTCTACAAAAAGCCCTTTATAGCCTGAATCCAAACTACCTGAGGAACTATCTAATCCCAGTGGGATTGGCCCCTCCCACTCCTGCAGAAGGGGCATGCTGCAAACCCCATTGACCAAGGACTTTTGTCTGCTGGGATTCAGAAAAAGAGCCTTTTCTGCCATGGCTCCCACTCTCTGGAACATTGTGGCCCTCAAGGTGAGACCCACCTCCCTTCTTGGCCTTCCAAAAGGGCTTGAAAACAGGCTCTGCCAATTGGCTTTGGGACTCCAATGGAGCAGTCTGTCGGGTATTCTGGGAATTGAAGTCCACACATCTTAATATGGGGAAACTATACTATGCTGTACTATGTTGAGACAGCCTAGAATGGCATTTAATTTTTTTTAGCAACCACATCACACTGTTGATTCAGTTTAACACATGGCCTGTTGAAGTCCCTAAATTATTTTCACACTTATTTTTTACCTGTTTCCCACCTGCACATCTCATTTGCTCCTACCTCAATGCAGAATTTTACATTTATGGGTAGCTTGCTTCCTTTTTCTCCTGACTCATTTCACCCTCCTTGTTGAAATTATTTTGGATGTGACTCCAGTCCTTGACATTTGTTTGGACTGCAAATTGAATGACTGTTTCTTACCACCTTCATCCAGGTTTATAAGGCTGTTCAAAGCAATAGCATGCCCGAGATTCATTTTTAACTTCTCCCCTGAATGACAAGCTGTTGGGAACAGCCACTTCTATCATCTATTAATTCTTTTTTAATCAGCTTTGATGATTAGAAATCTGTTGACTGTAGATGAGTTTATTGGTTAACCATGATGAGAGACTAACAGCTCCTATGCTTGTAATCAAATCCAATCTAACATACAGATAGAAGGACACTGAAAAAAGTGATGTAACTATTTTATACAACTATTGCAGCATCCCCGTGATCATGCAATCAAAAAAATTCAGATGCTTAACAACTGATTCATATTTATGATGGTTGCAAAACATTTTGACACACACATGATTTCAAGAGCAGACAACTTTTTAGTGGTCAGGAGGTAGATAGACAACATTCAGGGTGGAATACCGGAACTCTTAAGTATGGAACTATAATTTTGGTGGAGTCCTGGCAAAACTGGATTTTTGTTGTTTTTCCTGAGGTTTGGAAGTTTAAATGTTTAAACTACAACATCTGCCTTTCCCCGGTCCTTGGGAAGGACTCGATAGGTGGATAAAAATACCAAGCCCAGTCTAAACATCTGACTGACAGTGCAACAAACAAAAATAACAACAGTATTGTTAATAGAGGAATCAGTGCAATGGCAGACAGCAATGGTGAGGACACTCATTATCATCATTGCTGTTTGTCATTGCATTGATTCCTCTGTCAACAATACTGAACAAGTTAGGCCTGTCAGGCTATCCCACCTTCTTTACATGGACAATCTGAAGCTGTATAGAAAAATAATCTGAAATAGAATGGGTGCTCAACGCTGTCTATAAATGCAACCAAGATTTTGCAATTAAATTTGGTCTGGACAAATGTGCCCTTACCATCAACAGAGGGAAAATAGCGAAAGCTTAAAAAATGAAAATATCCAATGGAAATAACATGAAAGAGTCTGAATGAAGAAGACTACTACAAATACCTGGGCATCCTTCAAGTTGACAACTTCAAGCAGACTGAAGTCAAGAAGAAGGTTAGACATGAATACATCATGAAGAGTGAAGAGGATCTTAAAGTCACTGGAGGAAATACCATCAAGGCAATTAATACTGGGGCAATTCCAGTTATTAGATGCACAGCTAGAAAAGTGAACTGGACTCAAGCAGAACTAATAAGATAGGAAGACTAGAAAGATAAAGACAATGAGTCGTGCCCTTCCCTGTTTGTCAACAAGGAGCATACATGGGTGTGGAATGTTGCAAGTACACCAGACAGTTGAAGAAGAAGAAAAAGAGCCCTGGAAGAATATCTGAAGGGCACTGAACCTAGTATACCATGGAGGGTTACTACCAAATTAGCCTACAAGAGATAATAAATTAAAGAATAACTTTAAAAAAAATGGCAAGGCAAAGTATTACATGGCTGGTACAAAAAAAAACCCTTAATGGGCGAAGCAGATAACAAGACCTGGCAATGGCTAAGAGCAGGGAAGTTGAAGAAAGAGTCAGAGGGCCTAATTCTGGTTGCACAAGACCGAGCTTTAAGAACAAAGATAGAATTGAGAAGAAAGTAATAGAAAATGTCACCTCTGCAAAGAAGCTGAAGAAACAGTGGACCACCCAGTTAGCTGCTGCACACAGACTAACTACAAACAACAGCATCACAAATAGCAACAATGCTTAATAATTATTATAAGAAAGACAAAACAGTCTGGATAGTGGATGTTGTAGTATCTGGAGCAGCAGAATAAAAAGAGAAAGAACTGGAGATAGTCATCAAATACAAAGATCTGCAAACAGAATTAGAACTATGATAAAAGAAGGCAAAGATAGTATCAATAGTACTATAATAGGCGCCTTGGGTACAGTCCCAAAACAACTGGAGCATTAACTGAATACCATTGGTATTGACAAAATCACCCTCAGTCAATTGCAAAAGGCAGCTTTAATGGAACAGCTTAAATCAGGGGTCTTCAAACTTGGCCCTTTTATGACTTGTGGACTTCAACTCCCAGAATTCCTCAGCCAGGCACGCTGGCTGAGGAATTCTGGGAGTTGAAGTCCACAAGTCATACAAGTTTGAAGACCCCTGGCTTAAATCCTTTGATGATCCCTTTAATAAAATTAAACAACATCTGCCTGCCCAGGTTCTTAGGAAGGACTCAATAGGTCAGGGGTAGGCAATTTGAATATCTGGCTGACTATGCGACAAACCATGAAGACCAACACCATCTAAGGAACTGGCAGCTCTGATTTACCACTGTTGTGTATAATAATAATAATGGGGTTGCACTACAATTTTTGTATGTTCCATATTTTAAAAGAATGAGAAAGATTTTGGAGGGGGCTATGAAGAGAGTTGGAGAGGCACCGAGTATTTTTCCCCTCCCTTTTTTATCAAACAAGTACCCTAGGAGACCTAGAATTGTAATTGTAAGTGCGACTTTGGTCACAAGGTGGCAGCCATGTTGTGGATTAAACATCTTTTTTCAGCAAATGTTAAAAGTGTCTGTAAACAAAAACCAAGGGAGGGAGGCAGAGCGTAAGTATGAACTTATAAATAAAATGAGCTGCAAAAACCTTGCTTCGGCTTTTCTCTACAGCATCCTAAGAAAAGTTTCCTTCTGTCCTTTGGCTTCTTCCAGCTGAGGGTTATCTTGTAAATCAGAGCTATTTAAAGCTTTACTTTAAACCTCTTTATAAAAATTCATATGTAGGCACCTTGATCCACAAAAGATATCTCGTATGTATCCAAATGTGCAGCCCAAATGTTGGAGATGTGGTTGTTTGGATGCAACGTATTATCATATTTGGTGGTCATGTAGAAATATAAAGGTTTTTTGGATCAAGATTTGGTGGAATATTCAGAAGATTTTTAATAGAAGGATAAAATTTACACCACAATTGTTTCTGTTAGGTATTATTGATGATTGTGATGGTAAAGAGATTATTTTAATGTTGAATTTAATTACAGCAGCAAGGTTGCTGATTGGGCAATACTGGAAGAAGGATCTCTTGCCTACTTTAGAAGAATGGTT